AACATCAAATGCACGTGAAAAAATATTTTAAGGCACTAAATGAATCATAAAATACTTTAAGATGCTGAAAACATCTAAAATTTTTTTTTTGAATATTAGATAAATGTTAACCAAAAATAATTTTAATATATGCTTCCTTTGATCCTTAATAAGAGTTAGTTTAACTAATTCAAGTGTATTAAAAAAAATTAGCTAAATTAACCATTTATAATAAATAAGTGTTGTTTTTTCTAAAGTACCGTTCACTAATTACGTGTATTAACTAAAACCACTAATTGATTAAATCTTTAACATGTGTAATTATTCTAAGAACTATATTAAAAAAATAAATACAATGAATTAAAATTTTATGTTTAAGCCTAAATTAAATATCAAACTAATTTTTTATTAATGATTTGAGGTAGTATAAATTTTTTTGTAACAAAAAACAATAAAGCCAAAAAAAAAAAAAAACACTCCGCACCTAAAACGCTGATGAGCACGGAATGAGGACGGGAGGAGTTTAGTTGTCATTATTATGAGCTATTGAAAAAGCTTATAATTAGACGAGGAAAGTCTTTCATATAATGATTAACATCACTGTAACTGTCTCGCGGATTCGTCTTCCCCCCTTTTTTCATTCATGATAATTAAGTTTCAGGAGACTTACAATTAAGCCCAAAAAAAAAACAAGTTTATTTTAAAACTTTGTCATTATAAATTATTAAAGTTGTTATTAAGACTTTTTAGTAATTATTTTTTTATTAAACTTGATTATAATTTCTCCCCTAAATTTATAAGTCTATGTTAATTATTTGACATTTGTTCTTGTTCAATAAATTATAATACATTCTCCCTGATTTTTCTAATTTATCTTTATCAGTTCTCACTTCATAAATAAAAGTATGCTCTGGAAAATACACCTCTTACTTTCTTTTTCGCCAGAATTAGATTTTTTTTTGCATATTTATCACTTTTAATTGACATTTTCGTTTAGGCAACTTTCACATAAAATTAGAGGAAGTATATTTTAGTATGAGTTACTTGTCGAATTTTTAGGTTCCTCTTAATTATGAATCAGACGGGCACTTAGGAACCATAAGCACGTGATTGAGCTTGAATATCATATGAGTTGAGATTGAGGATGAGGATGGAGTGTTTTTTTTTTTTTTTTTGTATCAATTCAGGCAACTAATTAAAGAACCGAAAAAAAAACATAATTATGGCAATTCGTTAATGTGCAGCAAAGAGTAAACGGTGATAGCTAGATATTCCCTCCTCCCCACTATCACGTAGAAGAATGACTTTACTCTAAAAATGTAAGTAATTTGAAGAATAATTAATGCTTATTTATTAATTTTGTTGTTATAATTAATGCTTAAATATATAACTCTTTGTAGTTTTTTCTTTTCTTTATATAACCTTGGGTAAAGTTTAAAAAAATTAATTTGAGATAGATTTAATAAGTTACTTATGATTTATTTACTCTGATAAATTATTTAAAGTGACTTATATTATGAATTAGGAAGAATATTTGAATTCTTTTTAATAAATACTCATTTGATTATATTCATAAGCCAATTTTAACACATTTATGTATATTTCACTGAAACAAACGGAAATCATGAATTTCATTATCTTTTTCTTAAAATTTAGTAATTTTCAATTTAGCTTTTATTTAATATGTATACTTTTAAGAAAATAATTAATAGAAGTAAAGTTACACAAGTTTTCCCGAACCTATGGATAGAAGCAGGGAGTTATATTAGATGTTGCTATTTGGCTGAAAACATTTGTCATCATATACCCTTATGAGTTTCAAATTTAGAAATTAGTGTAATTCATTTTAGAAGCCTCAATTTAGGTCTGTGTCAATGTTCAATGTATATTTTTAATATTATTTTTAATTATTTCTCTTTTATCATTTTTTAACATATTTTTTTATCTTTTTTATTTATTATAAGGACGTATTTAAAAATAAAAATATATTTTTAACATTTTTATTATTTTTTAACTAATTTTTAAAGAATTAATTATTGAAAACTTATCATAAAAATCGAGAATAATATTTTTGATAGGGTAAGCGTGACCCTGTGAGGGAGTGAAGGAATTTACGGGGGAAGGGAATTGGTAAAGCAAGGGGCCGGGGGAAATGATAGCTTGAAAGCGAGGGATTTGAGGCTCCATCCATTCCGTTCAATTCAGGGCACTAGGGCACTAGGACGGCAGTCACAGTAGCCTGTTCTCACTCACATGACGGTGGGGCCCCATTCCCTCCCGGTGCCCACCGACCCCTTTCCCCCGCAATCCATCGCCAAATCCCTCGCCCCTCCCTTTTCCTCCGGCCAGTATTTAACTAGCTCAACTTTTTAGGACGATAGAAAGTACTAAATATTGTGAGTTTTATATTTCAAATCAAATACGTCATTAATGTCTTCTTCATTCACTATCAATATGCGAATGATACAGCATTTTTCTAGACAATATTATTTAAAATGTTGTCCCATACTAAATACAGAGAGGTCTCTTGATGAGAAGTTAAACGTTGATTCATAATGTTGTAAGATATACGGTCACCTCTTGCTAGATGCAATCACAATTTTTTTTTTGACCAATAGATGCAATCAATTGATTCTATACCATGTAGTTGGTTCTTTCTCGCAATGCTTCAAGGTACACAGGCGAAAGAACAGGAGAGAAGGTTGTGTTATTTAGAAATAGGTAATACTATAATTTTGAATTTTAATATGAGAAGGCCTACTAAGGAACTGTTTGGGTAAGAATAAAATCATAATTTTAAAAATATTTTTATAACAAAATAAATATATAAAAAAATTTGTCTAAAAAAAATATTACTAAAAAATACTTCTGAGATAGACAAACACTTTTTAAGCAGAAATGTAGGAGAGGGGGGAAGAGGTCATGCGTATAGGTACGAGCGTGTCGTGAAGCAAGGAAGGGAAAGGACGATAATAATAAAGAAGGCGCAGTAAATACAGGTGAGGATTTGTGATTTTTGATATTTTTGATTTTGTTTGATAGCAGAGGCAGCACTAGATTCAGAGCAGGATGGATGATGCCATCACCAATGCTTCCACTGTTCATCACATCCCACAACTGGCAACGGGCACCCAACTAGCTTCTCCCACACCCTTCTGTCCCTCCCCTCTCGTCGTTTCCTTTCCCCATTTCTCCTACCTCATCAAGTTGTCTTGCGCTCCCACTTAAGATTTTATAATTAAAATGGAATGGGCAGTATTTTTTCATGCACACGCATTCCCCCCTACCATTTTATGCACGAGTTATTCCTGTTTTATGATCTGATAGTTTAGAATATTGAAGAGAGCTGAGAAAGCGGGTAAGAACAAAAATGGATGTGGCAGTAATGCTATATATTTTGTCGATGTAAAATTAATTAATATACTATTCATACCTCCAATGTTTAATATAAAATTTATTTCATAATAAAAATTGTACTATAAAATAAGTTCTATACTAAACATGAGAAGTAGTATTATCAATGACTTCTAGTCTATTTTTAATTGTCATTTATAGTAAAAATTGTATTATAAAATAAATTCTATGTTGAAAATGAGAAGCAGCATTATCTTTATATGGAAATTTTCGTAAAAGTACAATTAGATCGCGAATCAAGGATATATAGTAAAGCCATCGTCATTAATGGTGCCCAAAGCCGGAATCTCAGTATGGGCTGTTTGGGTAAATGAAAGAGGAAGAAGAGACAGAAGAGACGAGGGGGCCGCGGAAAAGTAAAATCTCAAAAGGATGGGATTCTAAAGAAAGAGAGAAAGACAGGTGGTGGTAAGAAAGTCAGAGGGAGAATGATGGAGTGGCCCGTGACGCACACAATCGCACACAATAGTTCACATATAACTTAATAACAAATAACAAACTTTACAGTTAATTTTAACATAACGTTACTCTTTATCCTATCATTATCAAATCACGTTAAATACTGTTCATATTATATGTTGTTTGTTCCTCAAGCTCAAAAATAAAAAAATATATTAAATGAATTATGTTTTTTTATATTTGTTCTCAAATATATTAAAAATATGTTTTATATATTTTTTCCTCACCTATTTAATTTAACAAGCATAAAATTAATAAAAATTTACTTTACAAATAACTTATATGTAGGATAAAATTTTTTCTATAAATGACTTATAAATAGCAACAAGACCATATTGATTTTTATTTTCTCTTACTATTCTTATAAAATATGGATATATGTGTATATATATATAAATATTCAATGATTATTAAAACCATCAAAACTTCTTGTAAGAAAAAAAGATAAAAAAATAACCCCCTAAGAAACTCCGAGATCGGATTCTCTCCATTTCTTCTCTCATCCTCTTCCCTTCCACCACCTTTTTTTACCTTTCACAACTATTGAATCAAAACTTCAATGATCCAGATTTAATATTTTACAACATTTTATAAAAATTAATATAATTATAAAAATAGATAAATAAAATTAAACTGTTAAAATCTAATTTGAACAGCTCATATCTACCGACTGTTATTACAGAGCAAATTTTTTTAACTTTTTTTAATTACAGTTGTTAACTGTTTATACCAAATTTTAACAATTTAAATTTATGTATTTATTTTTAATAATATTATTTTTATGAGATGTTAAATCTAGATTATTGAAATTTTGATCTAATAATTATGAGAGATAAAAAAGGGTAACAGAGGGGAAGAGGAAGGGAGAAGAAGTGGAGAGAATCCAAATCTAGAAACTCCTCATAATATGCACCATTTTTTTTTTTATCGTTTTTTTTTAATCAAAAAAGGACAGATGAACATTGACTTCTGGTCTTGTTTTCATTCATTTAAACTTTCTCGCGCGCTCTCTCTCTCTCGCGCTCTATTAATACTCACACAGGACAGTGTTACCTGCGGCCTGTGTGATTATCAGTCTTTTCCCAATTTCAGTTTAAATCATTTTGTTGTTCAGTGTCTTCGAGTGAAACTTGAAAGAGGAGGTAACAATGTTGTCTGGTTTCTTAGGCAGCAAAAAGCGCAGACAGATCGAAGGGACTGTGGCGTTGGTGAAAAAGAAAAACTCCTTCGACTTTACTGATATTAGAGGGTCTCTGTCGGATCGTGCAAGTGAGTGTTTGCTTTTAGGCCGAGGCGTCTCTATCCAGTTGATCAGTGCTTCTAAATTCGACCGAGGTTGGTTCTTTAACTTTCTTTCCTTTCTCCATTTCAGACTTCGTACCGTAGTTTTACCAGCGTTTGGATAAGACATGGGCTGGTTCTTATCAATAGGACCAGATGAGTATATATACAAAACCTATAAATTTACCAAAACACCTTCTATTGCTTAATAATTATAATATCAATATATTCAATATGAAGCTTGTTGATAATTTCAAAATTTTTGCTTTTGTAGAAAGGGGAGGCAGAGGGAAGATTGGAAAGCCTGCATATCTGGAAAAGTGGATTACTAAATCCCCACATCTGACAGCTGAAAAATCTGAATTCGAAGTACACTTTGAGTGGGAAGAAGAAGTAGGGATTCCAGGAGCAATTTTTGTGAAGAATAAGCATCCCAATGAGTTCTTCCTTATTAGTTTGAAGCTGAAAAATGTTCCGCTCGGTGAAAGTGAAATCCACTTCCCTTGCAATTCTTGGGTTTACCCTGCAAATGGATACGAAGAAGGTCGCGTTTTCTTCAGCAAGAAGGTAAGACAGCTTCCGCTTTAAAGTGAAGTAGACTGTTCATATATTGAATTATTTAATTATTCAGTTTCTGACAAGCAACAACGTTCGTCTAATGTATTGCAGACATATCTTCCTGCTAAAACACCATATCCTCTCCGCGATTATAGAGAGGAAGAATTATCCAAATTGAGAGGGGATAGAATTGGAAATAGGCAACTTGAAGAACGCGATAGGGTCTATCAGTATGATGTTTATAATGACTTGAACAATCCCAAAAAGTATAAACGTCCGATTCTTGGAGGAACCGTTGGAGGGGAAATTGAATATCCTTACCCTCGTAGAGGACGAACTGGAAGGCCGTTAGTACAGTCAGGTTAGGTTTCTACTATTGGTTTTCATTGACATTTATTATTTTTAATTAGGTTAAATCACACATAAACATTATTAAGTTTTGAATTATAAGCAAATAACTGCCTCGATCTAAAAATACATTTTACTGTATCATTTTACAAATCCAGAATACGAGAGCAGAGTGAAGCTTTCGGCCCCAGTGTACGTTCCAAGGGACGAAGAATTTTCTCCACTGAAGAATGCGGACTTCGTTACTTTTAAATTCAAATCTGTGACTAAGGTTATTAGAGCTTTGAAAGCTCGTGACTCTGAAGAGTTTGATAGCTTTGATGAAGTTCTTGCTCTCTACGAAGGTAGATTTAAGTTGCCAAAGACTTTACTTAAGGAAGTAAGTGATTTTATTCCACTCCAAAAATTAAAGGAAGTTTTCCGAATTGATGGAGAAGCATTGCTCACATTTCAAAAGCCACAGGTGATTAGAGGTATGCCATATATATATATATATATATATCTATGTAAGTCTCTCATTTCATGATGTTCGAGCATTGAATATTCTACATCATATGCATAAAGGGGGTTGTGAAATGATTAAAATAATAATCTTTAAGGGTCATCGTTTATTCCCTTGATGCAGTACACACATGAATTGGTGTAGTGTGTAGAAAGAAAATGGTTGACAAGAGTTTATCTGAGGATTTTCTCACTAGTATTATGCAATATATTGTAAGGGCACTAAATAATATTGAATGGAGTTTTTGCAGGTAACAAAAATGCATGGATGAAAGATGAAGAATTCGCAAGAGAAATGCTTGCTGGAGTAAACCCTGTCAAAATTTGCCGCCTCCAAGTATGCCTAAGTATTTGTGGTCAATAGTTAGATTGCACTATCAATTGAAAGAAAGAGAGTTTCTTCATATAATAAAAAATTTCTTTAAAGTCAAATTTATGTAGTTGTAGATTAAGGATCATGGTTATGATAACCCTGCAAGGGAAAGTCTTACAACGGAGACTTCCATTTCTTTTATCTATATCTATTTCTTTGCAGGATTGGCCTGTTAAAAGCAAGGTGGATGGTACTATCTGCAAAATAAGTAAAGCTGATCTCGAGAAAAACCTAGAAGGGCTATCTGTACAACAGGTTATCTAATCTAAAACCATGTTCTTTATTCATCCAAAAGAGTATCGTGTTTTAAAATTCATCATGTTCAACTGATTTCCTATATTAAGAAAAGAATTTCTACATTTGATTCATCAGGCAATGGAGGACAAGAAATTATTTATACTGGATTATTATGACGATTTCATTCCATATTTGCGGCGAATAAACACAACTGCTGCTAAGGGTATTAGTTCTAAAGTTCACCCTAGAACGTATGCTACTAGGACAATTCTGTTCTTGAAATATGATGAGACATTGAAACCACTAGCAATTGAATTAAATTTGCCCCGAGATGGTGATTGTGATGGGACTCCTCAAGTCTACTTGCCTGCTGAACAAGGCGTGGAAAAATGGATTTGGATGTTGGCTAAGACCTACGTTGCGACGAACGACTCGAATTATCATCAACTAATTAGCCATTGGTATTTATATATATTTTACAGTATTGCATGTTTTTCTCCTTTCCATAGTTGTCTATTGATATTTTTACTTACATGAATCACAACAGGTTACTTACTCATGCTGTTGTTGAGCCTTTCATCATTGCAACAAATCGCCAGCTTAGTGTGATTCATCCTATTTACAAACTTCTAGCTCCGCACTTTAGTGACACTATGAAGATAAATGCACTTGCTCGACAATCTCTCGTTAATGCAAATGGCATTATAGAGTCAACATTTTTGCCAGGAAAATATTCTATAGAGCTCTCATCTAACGTTTATAAGAATTGGGTTTTTACAGATCAAGCACTGCCAGCTGATCTTCTGAAGAGGTAAATATCTATCACCAAAAGAAGTCATCATCAATATTAAGAACTCTTTGTTTCTATATTGTATCATATGTGATTTTGATGGCTCTGAATGCTATTTTCTTGCTTGATTTAGGGGAATGGCAACTGAGGATTCAACTTCTCGTCACGGTCTTAATCTTGCCATTAAGGATTACCCCTATGCTGTTGATGGACTAGATATATGGTTTGCGATCAAGACTTGGGTCCAAGATTACTGCTACTTCTACTATGAGTTAGATGACACTGTTCAAGAAGACAAAGAACTTCAATCATGGTGGAAAGAGCTTGTTCAAGATGGTCATGGCGACAAGAAAGATGATCAATGGTGGCCCCAGATGAAAAATCGCGAAGAGTTGATAGAATCCTGCACGATTCTAATATGGATTACTTCAGGACTCCATGCAGCTGTTAATTTTGGACAATACCCATATGGGGGCTATATCCTCAACCGTCCTACTATCACTAGACGTTACATGCCTCAAAAGGGTACCCCAGAATATGAAGAGCTTAAGAGTAATCCACAGAAAGCTTTATTGAGAACCATTAATTCCAAGGAGCATGCGATCCGTGTCATAGCAGTGTTAGCTATCTTGTCCAGGCATTCTTTTGATGAGGTATACCTTGGACAAGATGACATATCTAAATGGATATCCGATAAAGAGCCCTTAGAGGCATTTCAGAGATTCAAAGAAAGTATAGGAAAAATTGAGAAAAGAATTGAAAGAGACAACAACGATGTGAGACTTAAAAATCGACATGGTCCTGTTAATATGCCCTATACCTTACTTTATCCTAGCAGTGGACCTGGGCTGACTGGGGAGGGTATCCCAAATAGTATCTCTATATGATGGGTGATGTCATGAATTTGCTTTATTTTTTCCTTTTACCCCTGCTACTGAAAATTGGCTAGTGAACTTTTTAATCCCTTAAATTGTAACGTCATGTTTTAATTTGGTTATTAGTTAGGATGATTATAGTAGTTATGTCCGAAGTTACTATGTTTTGTCTCATGAACTTCCTTATCATGAACTTCGTTAAATGTTGATGTTTGATTTATGATGTTGTCTTATGTATGATTATTTCCCTTTGTTAATCTTTCTTATAAAATAGTTATGTAAAAGAACGTGCTTTATTTTCCTAAGTATGGGCCTGGACCTAAAGGCAACATATGAGAAATGGGCTTGAGGCTTCATCAATTTGGACTATGAAAAGTTTTTAGGTTTAGGTGTAATTGTGGAATTTGTTGTCTAATTTTCCTTGCTTCCTCCATTAATAAGAGTTAGATCTTACAGAAAGAGTTAGTTTTTTATAATGTGATGAACTAAAGCTTGAATTCTTACCAGAAGAGGTATCCACATTTGATGTTCGGCAATGCCTCGAACAGAATTCTTCTAATAGAAGAATATCAGTTTAGCAAAAAAAAATTATCCTTCTGTCCACCTTCCCTTTTCCTTTGTATGTTCTTTTGTTGTTGAACTTCTTAGATTGTGGCCTAACTATCTAATAACTAATAAATATGTATATATATTCAATAGTTTTCTTGTTTATTATTACTTTCAGTTCTTAATATAAGAGTTGGTTGACTAATTTGAGTAAATTAATAAAATTAGTTAATTTAGTTGTAATAAATAGGTGTTATCTTCTCTAAAATACTTTTGCTAATAATATGTATTTGATAAAATTATCATTTGATAAAATTTTTAACACGTGCAACTATTACAAGAACTATCTTAAGAAAAATAGATAAATATGAGAAATAAAGTGAATTGAGGTCTTATATTTAGAACTAAATTTAAAATCAAATTAGCTCTTATATTAAGAATCAGGAGTAATATTCCTTCTCCTGACTATTTGTAGGGTGATCATGAGAGGTGACCAAAATGTCAGTATTGTTAAATTCTGGTGTCATATAATTTGCACCTAAAAGTATCCGTGTATTCTCTCCTCTTGTTCACAAACAATTTTAGTCCTTTTATGAAATGAGAATTTGTGCTATTCTTGTTGTATTATATTTCTCTTCTTGATATTTGTTCACAACAAATCATAAGCCCCCCCTCCTGATCAGTTCGTTTATTTAATGTTTTCAAACCAAAAATTTCAGAATTGCAAAGCTAAGTTGATTTGATTAATAAATGAATTGTAATATTAGGTTATTGGGTTATACACACACATGAATCATCTGGAAAAGGAGAATGAGAAGGGATTGTATGCTATATAAGATAAGTACATGATAAGAATTTCATCTTGTAAAACATGAAAACACTTATTTTAAATCCTCCCAAACTTTTTAAAGCCTCTGTGCTTTTTTCCCCTTCTTGTTTTTGTTTTATTGGGGCAAATGTTTATTGTAGACTAGGAGGGAAGGCCCAAATACACACCCAAAAAAAAAAAGGTGAACATGGCAAAGTTGATCAAACGTTGCTCACCAGTTACCATCATTCTATCCGAGGGGTGTTTTTTGAAGAATTCAAGAAATAATTTAGGAAAATTAAGAAACAATAAAGTACAGTACCTTGTTGATGGGATACAAAATGTAAATTTACTTCATCTTAAAGATTCAGTATTTTCTGTTTTATTTAAATATTGAGATTTACTTTTTTCATATTTTATTCCTTAAGGTTGGAGCTTCCTTATCACCTCTTCATTATTAATGAAATCACAAGTTTCAGTACCTCCTCTTGTATTTCTCTCCACTTCTCCAACCTTAATTTTCTTCCCCTTCTTCCCATGTCCTGTTCTCATTGTTCATTTTAATTAATTTATGATATAAAACTTTTTTTCGTTAATAACAGAACGCTACGATAAGACATGCATCAGAAGAATCGAAAGTCCCGAGTCTTAGAATACAAGTCTGAAATTAAACAACGTAGTTCTACATCCAGCGAGTAGCTCAACTACTAAACTTCCAGCCGAAATAAACAATAACATGCAACTACAAATATGGTCGAGTCGAGTAATTTATAACATGTTTGGCATCTAAGAAAAGAAGCCACGAAGAAGTTTGTACAAGTTGAGCATCGGATATACAAGGATAGCGATTCCTATCACAGTTGAACTTGTTCTCCAAGTGTCTCGAAAGTACACCAAATTGAGAGCAGCCATTGTATGATTCCAGGGGCTTTCGTAGTGCTTGTTCAGGTCATCCATAAGACCCTTATAACAGGTCCCATTGGTCATGACATTCTTGTACAGACCATTAACTAGGACGGCCACTGCTTTGTTGCTCCCAAGTTCATGGACAATGACTTCCTTCTCAACCAGCAATTCCACATCATCTCTGGTGTGTATGAGAGAATCAAGGAGCGACGCATATATAATTGCAAACATAGGGTTTATCTTCATAATGATATTGTTCCAGGGCCATGAGGTTCCTTAAAACACATTCTGTTGTGTGGTCTGCTTGGAACTGGGGCATTCTTAAACAGGCTTTGAAGCATCTCAAAGCTGGCTTGCAACCCAAGTAAAGAAACCAACTCAAAATTGGATGTTTCTTGAATTTTATGCGAAGCAACCCCTTTTCCCTAACTGTTTCAAAGCTTACTCCTGCTTCTCGCAACTTCGCCGCGCTCCTTGCATTTGTAGAAGGCATGAGCTTGAGTTCCAAATCATTCACATAGAAGGACCTATGCCATCCAGAATGTGTCAGTTTGTGTGTTTCTCATCATATAGCCATTTTTATTATAGATAGCACTCCCATTGATCCCTAATATATATAAGAGCTAATTGCAAAAATTAAAAAAATTAGTTAAATTAATTATTTATTAAAAATATAAATTGGTTTTCCTAAGAGATACCGTCTTTAATCATTTGTGTTGAAATTACACACTCTTTAATACAAACCCTCTTAACATGTGCAATAATATGGAGTATATAAAAGTACTTTATTGAAAATATGCCATATAATATTTGTTTTCTTATATGTGAACCAAAATGAATTCGTATCCATAACAATAACAGAAATAACAACAATATTGTTGGGGGTAAAAGCTGATTATATAGAAAAAGTCACAGAGATTTGTAATTACTATTGTTTATATATTCGCTTTTACTATTGCATGCAAAAGACTTTTCTTTTTCTTTTTCTTAAGATATTAGGTAAAGTTGTAAATACCTGATCAAATCAGTGAAACGTTTCGCATTATTGATCCCGTACTCCTGCAATCTTGCGGAATACCTCTTTTGGGGGCCATTAGCTGAACGATTATTACCACTTTTTGACGAGATCTTGGAATCCTTATCTGGCTTCAGTAGGGTTTCAACAGGATCGAACCTTGCATATGGATCAAAACTCTTGAAGTACTCGGAGGCCAGACCAATAAATCTTTCATATACCTGATAGGTCTCAGGTACGACAGTTGTATATAACTTATCCAAGATGTAGAACGAAATCTGGTTTTCAAGTACCATCAGGTCTCTCTGTATACTCAGTTTCAGCCAAGTCTAGTTCAGTATAGGATCATCTTTATCTTTCTCCTCTGATGAAAACCTCAGAAACAGCTCCATGATGAAGACGGAATCCAAAAGCAGCATACTGACGAACTCTTCACCCTCGATCTTTTTGAACTCCTCAGCATAAAGATGGCGTATGGCCTGTTCTTTATTTTTCAAGAACTCTTTAAGGTTCGTCATTTTTTTGTCGAAACCAGAAGAGATGAAAGTATCGTAGTTTCTGCTTTTGCATTGGAATTAGCTTTTCCTGGCCATAGTGAATGGGTCCTATTGAGATCAACTGAGCAGTATAGGCTTCCTTGTTCAGATCTCGAAGAGTGCATTGGACTCTGTAAATGTCATGCTGAAATGTGTCCAATTCTTGTTGCTCCTCTAGCCCCTTTATGTCTATCTTAATTTGCATCACCATCTCACATTCATTTATCGATTTCGCACCACGGTTTGAATCAGATGCCATTGCGTCGGAGCCTCTGAGCAAAGTAAGAAGACAAAGTGAGGATAAATACATTTTAAACTAAAAGCAATATTCTAGTATTCAAACTTTTCTTTTTTTTTTTTGGTTAAAAAAAATGTCACACCCCAAAAATTAAGGGGTGACCGGCCCAGAATATGAGAGAACTCGTATTCCTAAAGTCTTAAAACATATCAGTAAACACTTCATTTAATCATTGTAATACAAATCACAATATCCAGATTAATATAACAATCTTAACAATGCCTATACCGTTTATAATTCACATAAATAAACATATATAGACCTCCCAAAAGAGAATTAAAGATCCTCCCTATAGACTACGTGGGGCACCTAAAGTAAGATTTACAAACACATATATATGAGTTTAAATTTTTTTTCTTCCTCCTTTACATTAAGTTAGGAATCTTTGAAAAGGACACTTCATCTTCAAGCAAGCAACACAATCCTTCGGTAATCAGCAAGAGGAACATGGCTGCACTAACTGAGACCAAAATATTTTATTTCAGTGAATAACATCCCATTTATAGAATATGATAAAACAAATGATGAAAGGAAAAATTATGCAAATACAATTATGTAAAATAAATGATTTATCATTGCTTTAATTTTTGAAAGAAATCATTAAAATGTAAAAATATATATAACACTTTTAATATACAAAATTAACTAAACAATTTATTTATGAAATTAAATCGTAAAATAGTGCGAAAAACGCTTTTTGAAGTGAGGACTTCAACAGAACGAGCAACAAGCGTGGACACACAGTCTACGAGAGCAAGTAACCAACAAGTGCAGCTAAAGCCACGAATACAAGTGTGGGAACGATGCCCACAAATATCAAGCAAGGTCGAAATTACCACGGCGCACCATACAAGCACAGCCGAAGCCACGAATACAAGCGCAGTCGAAGCCACGAATAACAAACGAGCTTGATTTTAACCATGGCATGCCAAGGACTAACAACACTGCTGTTAGCAACTAGCGTTCTGTATGCAGTCCTCACAAAAACATGCACAAGCATGCATTGGATCAATTTACCATTAAAAAAAAAAAGGGAAACTATCTTTTTCTAATAATGAAATCTTAAAGAACCCACCACGAAAGTTTGCAAATAATATTTTCAAAACTTTTCTTTCCGATGCTATCAATCAAAGAATAGGGACATTTTCAAGAAAAATCTTATAGGGACATTTTCAAAATATATAAACCATTTCTATCTGGAAGTTTACAAAGAATCTCTCAAAGGCTTTTCCTATCAATTCCATGTTATTCGATGGAGCAATTAAAGCAAAATAATTAACAATAAATGAAGTATTCAATAAAGTGATATTAGAAAACTTAATAGTTTAATTAATTAAAATATAACCTGCCGTATAGATATTATTGTAACAATTATTATGGGACGCCATTCACGCACATGTTGCACTCCAAAAGCAAAGTATAACTTACTTTTATTTATTTCTGCAATATGATCACATCTCGATACCCTCAAGCTCCAAACACAAAAATATCAATATTCCAATTTATAATTTATAAAAATTCTCATAATATATCATTGAATAAGATTATCCATTACTATGTTGCTTCCTATCTGTACCTTAGTTTATCTCCAAGCAAAAACCATTTTCGTTTCTTCCCATATATTATAAAACTAAATTCTTCTACAAAAAGTGTGTCCATTAACTCATGCTCATAACCTTATAATCAACCTTTTATTGTTATAACTTAAACTTATATCCACTAAATTATTTATCAATAATCTCAAACAGTTTCAGCAACCACCACCATTTCTTCCGTATCTAAACGGTGGCATGATATTGACAACTAGCAAACTTAGCATTCAAATTATAATTTAATTTCCTTCCTAGCAGTAACATAAAACTCCACAACGTCCAGATTTTCTATATAGAGGAGCAAGTAACTCTTGTTTCCTTCGAACATCCCATGAAAACCAAAGTATAAATCATAATTAATCCAAAATAATATCTAAATTACCATTCACTACCAAAATAATATATAATCACATGTCTAAATGAACCCTCTTCCTTTAAAGCAATTTATCGGACACCTTACGGGATCTTAAAACAATTTCGTATAAAGCAAGCATCTTAATTCACAAGCTAATAATCGTAACTTCCAAGCACCCTTATGATCCGAGAAAATTTCCTCGAGCCTACTCTTTTACTGATTTCATAATACCAATCACAATAAGTAGCACTAAATCAATCTCATGCCTCACGAAATCTTACCGCAAAGTATTATAAAATACCTATATATGTCACCCATTTTCTCTTAGACATTCTAACAAACACATTGTATGCAATCATAACTAAACAGGGTTATCAATCATCTCAATCTATGATCTTTACTTGCTTAAGCTCGCATCATCTCTTTCTGCATCACGCACAGGACACATAACTCAACTCCAATTAAATATTGAAGCTCAACATATTCCCAAACCCACCATGACAGTCACAAATTTTAGGGAGAGTAAAGAGTTTCCAACTTACCCTAAGAGCAAAGTTCTCTCCAGCATATGGAGTAGAAGAGATAGACAAAACTCCCTTAATCAAGCACAGTGGGAGCAGAAACCAAAATGAAAAGAAACCCAGAAGAACCAGAGGAGAAAAACAAACAGGGGAAGAAAGAGAATTCGCATGATCAACAGCACCCCACTTCAATCGTACATCATAACCGCAACCAGCCAAAAAAGAATCAACCACGGATTGCTTCTCTCCTTTAATGCATTACAGACAACGTCAATTGAGAAAAACCAAACGCCGAACAGGGAAGGGGAAAGACGCAGCAAGCCGAGGCCTTGAGCAAAGGAGTAAAATAATGATGATCGTCATTGGCACACACACCCGCAACAGCCAAGGAAAAACGGAAAGAACGAGTGGTGATGGGTTTCAACCAAGGTAAAAAAAACCAGACCGGACCGGCCGGTTCAACCGGAAAACCGGTGAATCGGTCACCAGTCCGGTCTGGTTTGGAGAAAAAACTGGAGGTGGTTTGAACCGGTGGGAACCAGTCCAACCGGTAAAAACCAGTGTTAAACCGGAAAAAACCGGTTGGGCGGTTCACACGGTTTGGCCTTAAAAAAAAAAAAAACTCTTTCTCCCTCCCTAACCTACCAGACTCGAGCCCTCGGTCCTTTTCCAGTCCTCCCCCATTTGTGACCAAATCGTCGAGATCTCTTGCACCTGCTCCCAGGAGAAGACTGCGACCCACTTTTTGATTTTTGTTTCGAACCCAATTTTTGTTTGAATAGCGAAGATATTGAACCTTCCTCTAAAGAATCTGAAGAATTAGAAGGAGAAGAAACAGAGGTCTTCGAAAGCTGCTTTGATTCAGTGACCGGAAACGATTTGAATTTGTGGAATCGGGATTCAAGGTCGGTGGGGAGGACGGAATCGGTGAGGGAGGCACAATTGATGGCAGAAACCTGCTCCAAAACGCAGGCGTCTTGAGCTTGAGTGATGATTTGGTCGATGGCCGACTCGGCGTTCGTATTAGAAACGTCTACAAATCCAACCATTTCTACAAACTGCGAGAGGAAAGGAATGAGTCGGTGTGTGAGTGTGAGACTGTGAGTCGCGAAGTGTGAGCATATCAGTATTTTTAAAGCGAATGGGAATAGGGGGTGTTGGAATGTGTGGAACGAGAAGCTTAATGGCTAGCTCATGCTTTGAGCGTCTTTTTCAAGGATGATGGAGAGAAGTTGGACGTTGGGATCTGAAAATAGATAAAAAGATATGGAACAATTTGGAAGGTATTTTTATAGATTCCATATGATAAATGGATACCGATATATTGGTGATATGATTAGCCAGAAACAATATAAAAATACGGGGAAAATTGATATTTAAAACATTATTTTATTTCTATCATAGGGTGCCTGGAAAAGCTATAACCTTGGGTGATGATGAGAAGGAGGGATGGTGACATCCTGGCAGTGGCTTTGGCTTAGTTCCCTCTCTGCGCGCGCTCACTAGCTAAGAGTTGTCAGGAATCTAGATGCCAAGTGCTGCCTCCTATATTGATTATAATTTTGATTATAATGTTGATTTGATTCTTTTAGATTAATTTTATAAAGAGGAGAAGGCTGCATTATTTGTTCTACTTTAATATTGTGAATTAAATTTTATTATTTTAATGTGACCGGTCTGACCTTGGTCCGATCCCGATCAGACCAGTAACCCTTAACCCAATATCTCGACCGGTTTAGTTTCCGGTCCGGTTTTTTGTTCATTGGTTTCAACTCTCCAAAGATCTAAAGAGTTCCTCCTCTCCTCCTCCCCTAAACAAGATCGGAATAGAATAAAAATCTAATGGTATTTTTTTTTCCATAAGGGCATTAAGGTAATTCACAATGTGGACAAGCAAAATAAAATTCCGATTTTGAAACAGCGTGGAATCGTGCTTTGAACCGCTAGCACCCCCCATAGCTTCTAGTACCACCAAACCACAAGTTTCCCTTTAG